ACTCATTTGAGATGTTTGATTTTTTTTTCTCATTTTCATTTTTGAAAAGTTTTGTGCATATTGACTTTCCATCTTAAAAATGGTAGATATAATAATTCTACAATAGATGGAGATGAAGATGGAGAATGGAGATTAGAGATTGGATGTTGGAGAAGATGTGTATAAAAATGTTAGAAAATAAGAGTATTTATAGAATTTTTTGTACCCCACCCACCCCACCCCAACGGCTCTATGTCTCTATTGATTCAAATTTCAAACAACCAAACTACCAAAGTGGCTATATAGCCGTTTGTGGCTTTTGATTTCAATTTTTTTTCGTATGTTTTAGTTTGAATAAATTACATAATGTAAAAATAATTAATTAATTTTATGAATTCAGTAACAATGAAATTAATACACTTTAACTTTAACTATAATGAGAATTACAACTAGTTTTTTGTACAACCTATTTTTTTTTACTAACAATCAAATTATTATAGTTTAACTTTAACTATTATGAGAATTAACTAGTTTTTTTTTCAAGTAACGTTAATACAAAATTAAACAAGTGTAAATAATAGAATGATTTCGTACCTCTTTCGGACTTTTGGTCTTTCGGATGGGAGTAATAGAATGACTTCAAATTAATTAGATATAATTCAAACTATATTAATAGATATAATAAATGTATAAGTAATATATAATTAGATAAGAAATATAAGTAATATAATGTATGTATTTATAAATTATAAGTAGATAATTAATATAAAGTAGATATATAAATATAATATATTGGAGAATAAGAGAATTAGATAATAGAGAGTTAAGAATAGGATTTAGGAAGAATTGGAGAAGAGATATGAAAAAATGTTTTAGATTAGGAGTATTTATAGGTTTTTTTACACCACCCCCACCCCACCCGCCCACCCCCAAACCCCCTGGACCCCCCTGCAGCCCACCCCCAACGGCTAGTCTGGCCCAAAAGTCCAAAACAATTTTTTTTAAAATGTAACCGTTGGACCCGGACCCGGACCCGGGCCCGACCTGGCCGGGCCGGGTCAACTATTTCCAGAACCGAGCCCGCCCCGCCCACTCCCCCGATTCAGGTCTACACCCGGTCCCGGACCGCCAGACCGGGCCGGTCCCGGGCCCGCACAGTAGCGGGCCGGGCCGGGTCACGAGCCGGGTGGCCCGAACCGAATCCACCCCTACTCAACCATAACCGTATATTTTTTACGTTTTCTCATATTCTGAAACTTCAATCCAAGTAAAACTGTGAATAATTTATGAGAGGGAGGGAGAATTATGTTTTTTCTCCTTTATTCCTCTCAAGAATTGCGGATACGACTATTCTCGTATTTTTTATGTGGGGTGGGGGTGGGGGTTAATGGTATTACTTAGAAACTCAAACAAATTTATGATAAAATATAAATAAAACAAGATGTTACTTTCAAAACTACCATAACAGTAGAACAGATTTGTAAAAATATGACTAAAAGTTGCTAATCTCTTCGAATTCTTTTATTTACTACACTTTACTTTTTGAAATTTATTTTAATTTTGAGAAAAACGTCAAATAAGGTCTTCTACTATTGCGAAATAGTCACATAAGGTCATGTACTCAATAAAGTGTCATATAAGTATCTCTACTTGTATAAAGCAATCAAATAAGTCTCAACGGCTTATTTAACACATCATAATCCCGATTTTAGCTTACATGTCAATTTTTTTGACTTGTATTTCAACCAATCTTAGTTAAATATTCGAAATAAGCCGTATAATGTATTCTAAAAAGATGGTCAGAAGTACGTTGAAACCGGGATTATGAGGTGTTAAATAGGTCATTAGAACTCATTTGAATGCTTTTTAGAAGTAGATGTACTTATATGACACTTTATTGAGTAGAAGGCCTTATTGGATCCTTTTCTCTTTAATTTTTGTCACACTCTCCCGTTTTTAAAAGACTTTCCTTTAAAAAAAAATACTCATTTACCTTGCATATTTTTTTCTACTTTTTCATATTCTCTTTTATATTTTCCACAACCTTTCCTACTTTTGTACACTACTCATTACTCCTATTACTTTTTCGTTAAATATATTATGCAACCCTTTCAAAATCATTTCTCTATATTTTTAAACACCGAAACACAAATAGGAGGGCCATCAACTCTCACATGTCTTCCTTTCCCTCCCAAAAATCAACTCCCAAACACACCCTAAGAAAATCTTAAATATACAAACCTCACATTGTGTTTAATTAAAATTTGATAGGGTCACATGATGATAATGTAACGTGAAATCCGAATATGTGTGTAATTATCGGTTATCACACCCGATCAACCCGAACACGTGATGACTTGGCATATACCTTATTGGACTTTTCAAGCTATATCAAGTTTAAATTATTTCTATAATTCTATATAGTGGTTTATTGCGTAATTCAATGAGAAAAAGATTTACACAATATGAGTTTTACTTTTTCTGAGCGGTGGTCACTCATCCATGGTCCATGGGTGTAGTTAGGCATGGATGCGGTCCGCAATATGGCCGGGTCTAGAACTGGTCCAGTACTGTTTGGGTTTGGATTTGGTCCATTTTTCGTACTGGGGCTAAGGGTTGGACCTGTCCTGTGGGTTTGGGTACACGGTCCCAGGTGACCTGTTTTGGGAACGATCGGGGCAGTCCTGGTCCTAGTTTTGATCAGAACGATACTTTTTTTTATTTCAGACGGATAAAAAAATAATGTGATCGGGATCGAAACTGTGATCCGAACCAACCCGATACTTAGAACCGGCCTAGAACCCTAAATAAGCGTGCAGGTCGGACATGGGCTTCACCGTCATTTGACAAGGTCGGACCAGGCGGCCTTGGCCTGCCAGAACTGAGATCGGATTGAATGAACCATTTTTTGTGTAAAAATTTATTAAATTTTTTATGAATGATTCTTTCACATTCACCCCTGAGTTTCACTTTCTCTTATGACTCATCATAATACGATAGCACAATGGTGGACTCTATGTCTGATTATTGTTCTACATAATTACAACTTTACAAACCTCTACATATAATTTTATAGAAGCAGAGCTCTTTAAATAAAAGTAAACTAGAATTTCAATTGTTGTGAGTAGATGATTTTGTTTTAAAACTCGAAAACGAATGAGATTTTCAAATGTTATAATGGGCTTATAGATACACAACACCAGATTAAAGCTCATAAACATTATGAAAGTAATCAAAAGAAAACGACTCTTATGAGAGTCAAAAATAAAACATGGCCAAAATATTTATTCATTTAATCATTTATTTTGCAAAAAATCAATGACCATTGTAAGAAATAATGCTTTAGTCGCCATAGCTGCTTTGACATGGACACTCTTGGCACTTGCAAAGAACATATTAAATTCAAAAACGTAATACTCCGTAACTAAAAACAAAGGCGCCCGTGGCCTAATGGATAAGGCGTTTGACTTCTAATCAAACGATTGTGGGTTCGAGTCCCACCGGGCGTGCGTTTTGTCACTCGTAACCATTTTCCCAGACTTTTTATGACTTCTACCAAATACGGAGTACTTTTTTTTCTTCAAAAAAAGTTTGTGCAAGGGATAGATGGTATATGAATATTATCGTATTTTGTATGTTGTACAATATAAAAGGTTTATGCTAGAAATATTACATGGAAGCTTAAACAAATGTACCATTTTTAAGTTGACGTACCATGCCCTTTCGATATTTATGCCCACCCGACTAACAATAAAATAAATATAGTTCAAGAAGAATTGCAATTTTAGATCCGTAACTTTAAGTTGTGCCCATTTTTAGTACTGTAAATTTACTTGATTGCAGATTACATCGTGTAACTAATACTACGTAAATCTTTGTAATTTAAGGACTTTTTCACTATAAATTCGCAAATTATATCATACAGCCGGTTGTACTATGTGCACAGTGCAATTTGGCTTTTCGTTGCAGGCGTGCTTCGTTCATCACCGTTACACAGGCTGACGACTCGCTGTTCGCACCCAGGTTCGTCGCTCACCGCTCACACTCATACGGCCGCTCACCGCTCACACCCTAGACAAGCGACTCGCCACTCGATGTACGACTCGTTGTTCACGCCTATATCTTCTGCTCGCGACTCTATGGCTCCTCCTATCCGACAAAACTCATGTGATCATGTCAGATTGAAGTTTTCCACGAACAGATTAAAACTTGTTCACATCGTCTCAATGCTCAATAATGAAGAACAAGATACTCAATCAAAATGCTTTGATGCTCAATGTAGATGTTTGATCACATAATCCCAATGTTCAATAGTAGAGAACACAATACTCAATGATGATGATTTGATGATCAATTTAGATTCTATTGTCAATGAAGGTGTTTAATCACATAGTCTCAATGCTCTGCAGAAACCAAGACACTCGATGAATACGTTTTGATGCTCAATAAGTTATGAAAAAGTTATATTCAATTGCAAAGTTCCAATGCTAAAAAGGGGAGACTTGATGCTCAATGCAAAATATTTTGATGCTCAACGAACATATGTTATAGACCTTATGATATTAATATCAATTCATATTTAAAACAGGCGAAATTCATAAGAATAATCCATACTTTTAGGGATTCTGCAATAATAATCCCTACCGAGAGTCTCTATAAAAATAATCTGGGTGAATTCACATTAATGCCCATTCAATGTGAATTCAGCTCAAATTATTACAAATACGGAGCATGTTATTTTTTTAATGGACCATTGGACCTTAGCCATTAGTTATCCAATATTCGAATTGGGTAATTTAGGTTTATTACACACAAAATCCAACATTTGAAGGCGGAGTCAGAACTAGTCCATCGTATTTACTCGTAATGCTTCAATAATATTCGAGCCCGTTTGGTAACACTGTTATTCAGCTTATTCGGTTTATCAGCCAACTTTTTCACCAAACACATAAATTTTGATTCCGCGCGCTGAAATATGTAATAATAAGAAAAAGTAAGGTTGAAGTTACTTTTCTGGCTGTTTCGGTTGAACTTAATGTATAAAATTATTTTAGCTATTTTTACATATTTTTTTTGAGCCAAAAACAAACTTACCATTATAAAAGCATATCATTTGCCACCTGGCTTACAAGATAAATCAGGAACAACAGTAAAAATACTACTATGATCTGAGATAGACACGTGAGCTCTTGCTAACGCATGAGCCGCACGATTCACAGACTGTTCACAAAAAGAGATACTAATGTTACTCTTTGTTTGAAGTAACCGCCGAACGTCATCCACTATCAACTCTGTCTAGGAATTCCCCTCCCTCACCTTATTTCGTGCACAATTTGTTGAGCATCCGTCCCTATTATGACTTCACTCCATCCTTCCCTGCTAGCTACACCGATAGCTTCTCTAATGCCCAAAGCCTCGGTTTCCGCCGGTGACCACCCTGCTTTCCTGGAACCGCCCCCTGCCTTAATGAATTCGCCTTCGTCATTCCCTGTGATCTATCCCCAAGCTCTAATCTCATATGTCGTGTTCACCGCAGCATCAACGTTCATTTTAATAACTCCACACCTAGGCCTGGCCCACCTATCCACTGCTCCTTGCCCCTGCTTTCTATGTTTGGCCCCCGTATTTTGAGCCTCTCTCCATGAAGCTAACATACTGCTGCCCCATTTATCATTGCCGTTGAATTAAGCCACTCATCCTTTCAAACAAGGCTGTTTCGCCTCTTCCATATACTCCACAAAAGCATAATAAATGTGCACCTGTCTTCTTTTTCTGGCCCCTCAACCTGCTTTTTCACCCATTCTTCCAACGTATGATTCTGGCTGCTCAGATCAACCCCTGCCGATTGCCACACCTCCCAGACCATCACACAAGACCTGAAAGCATGGCCTCATGACTCCACAACTTCATCACAATTTACATACCGTTGGTAACTCCACCCCACGCCTGTGGATATTTTCCAAAGATGGTAATGATCCATCCAGTACCTACCACGCCATATATTTAATTTTAGGGGGAATATGCATCTCCCACAAGGCTGCCCGGTCTGCCCAGCCCCCGTCATCCTACCAGCCCATCACCTTCCGATAAAAACTCTTGACCAAAAAGTAACCATCTTTTTCCCCTGTCCACCAATAACCATCGTCTATCCTGGAGACTAATCAGTGTGCTTAGGATAAAGACTCACTATCTTCTTTGTCAAAAATAGATAACATTCTATCCCTATCCCAATTCTTCACTGAATAATCCTGTAGAGCTGCAACATTAATGTCAAGTATCCCCACAAGACGCGAAGAGTGAATTTTCCATGTACCCTGCCCTGGTAACCAGGCATCAGCCCACCCTTGTACCTCCCTGCCATTGCCAATTCTGCGTCTAACATTTTTCTCCAAAATTGATTGGATCTCTATAATACTCCTCCATATGAAGGAAGGATTATTTATCACCGCTGCTTGTTGAAAGCTAGTGTTCGGAAAATATCGAGCTTTCAACACTCGACCCATTAAACTTCATGTATATGTTATCAATTTCCACCCCTATTTGGCTAGCATTGCGAGATTAAAGTCTCTTAATCTTCTAAAACCCAACCCCCTACACTTTTTGACTTACACAACAACTCACACCTCCTCCATCTTAGTCCTTTTTGGTCGAACTTGGATCCCTTCCACCAAAACTCATTCATCATTTCTCCACCGCATCACACAACTCGCGAGGTAGCATAAAAACATTCACTGCATACATGGGTATTGCCTGGATAACATTTCGATGTAACACGGCACGCCTCGCCCTTGACAGAAATCTATTATTCTAGTTTTTAATCCTAGTAAAAATTATGTCACGCAAATAGCCAAGAAGAGCCGTTTTACCTCTTCCCACAAGAGCTGGTAGACCAAGATAACGATTCCGGCCGCTCTCCTTTGGTATGTTGAGGCTCTGACTGCAAGCTTCTCTGAATGCTTCCCCCACGTTCTGGCTAAAAGACAAAGAGGATTTACTAAATATTTTTTATTGCACTACACTCATTGTGAGAAGCTTTAAAGAAAAGGAAACTATCATCCGCAAACAATAGGTGAGTAATTTTTGGTGCTCCCCTACACACAGCAACTCCATGAATGTCTCCACTGACCTCCGCTCTTTTCAACATAGCACTTAGCCCATCGGCTACAAGAATGAACAAGTAATGGGATAAAGGATTGCCTTGACGAAGACCTCTCCCCGACTGAATCGCCCCAAATACTCTCCATCAAACCGCACATAGTAGCTCAGATCACCGTGGACACACACAACATTATAATATTTGCCCATTTTTCATGAAAACCTCTCTTAAGAATGATGTCCCTTAAAAAGAACCAGTTTACTCTATCATAAGCTTTGCTCATGGCCAATTTTAACACTTCCGTTTCAGAAAATGCTGAGTTTCAAAAGTCACAATAATATTATCCACTATAGATCTTCCAGGAATAAACGCACTTTGATTTTCACCTATTAGGGAACCCAATATCTCCTTTAGCCGGTTAGCGAGGACTTTTGAAAAATTTTATAGACCACATTACACAATGCTATTGATTTTGAATCCCCCATATTGATTGGTTTCTCTTTTTCAGATTTAAAACAATATTAGTGATTTTTAAATTCGGAGGAAGAGAACCTGTATCAAATATGGAGGCACATAATCTCGACACTTCAAATCCCACTACATCCCAGAAAGCCCGGAAAAATGGTGGATTCATCCCATCTGAACCAGGAGGTTTTTCTGGATGCATATCAAAGATAGTCGATCTGACCTCCTCCATGTAAATTGGTCTGATTAGTCTCATGTTCTGTACTTCGGTAACCCCTGTGAAATTTCTCATAGCTAGACGGGGCCTCCATCGACGTAGCATGTGTTGCCATAAATAAATCCCACCAGTCATCATTCACAAGTATTCTATCCAACTTCTCTTATACCTCTTTCCCACGTCCATCGGTATCCATCGAAAGGAAAATCCTCAAGTCCACTGGCAAATACCGCTTCGCGAAAACCCCTTAATCTCCAAGCGGGGCAGGGAATCTTCCTTCCTTCTTCTAGCAAAGACCGCCCGCATAAGGTCCCAAGCTTCTCTTATTTTACTAGTCTCTGGAAATCCATAGAAACCTGTAATCCTCCACCACAGAGCCTCTAGCGCAAGCCTAACCTTGCAATCAATGTGATTCGCACTTCTTCCCACCACAATCAGCTCGATCTCATCACTCCAGGCCAACACCAGACCGCCACTAGCCCCAGTACTGTCCGCCCTGAAGCTCTACAAGTACCCTCTTTGCTGCATCAACTCTCGCGCTCGCAAGCAACGCACCGTTTCCATCAGGAACATGATGAATGGCTTGTGGGCTTGGAGAATATCTGTCAAACATTGAATTGTAGCCGGATTGTTTAGCTCTCTGCAATTCCAACTCAGTGCGCTCATCTTATTGTTTCTGCCTCGTCTCGATACTACACGCCGGACGTTGTGCGAAGAGCACCCTGGAAAAACCGCTACGGATAACCCTATAATCGACCACCTCTACAAAATCCTTCCAACCAGCTGCACCGTGCTGTGAAAACCAGAGAAACTACCCCTGCAGTGAAGCCCTATTGCGAGCGAAGGATTGCTGATGACCATCGCACGTCTTGTCCCCCATTTTCACTGTCCGCCGGAAGCCTCTACCAGAAGATCGGTCACCCTAGGGTTTTCATCGCCAGAACAGAGCTTCGCCAATTTCAGAGTTAGCAACTCCTATTCAACGCCTCAAACTTGCTCTTCACTGAATCTAGGCATGGACCAGGCCCGGCCCGCCCCGGCTCCGGGCCAGTTCATAGCGGGCTTTTTTTTTTAAATACTTGGGCTCGGAATCGGCCCAGGTTGATACCGGGTCCGGTTCGGATCAGGCCTACCCGGCCGGTTCGTGCCGGGCCCGGACTATTTTTTTAATATTAAGTTAAGATTAGTTGGACATAAAAAGATTAAAATATATATATTTGAATATGTAGTACAATTGAAAATTGAGAAAAAATTAAAACATGAAATACACTTTTGAATAAATAAGAATCAATCGGAATCTCTGTCATCTTCGGTTGTTTCCTCCATAAAGTGGCGGGTGGATTCGATGCTCATTTCTTGAGTTCTACGTTGGGCCTTCAACCAATAGTGGAAACAAACAAGCATCTCAAGAGAGTTTGCGCTCAATCTCGTTCTATAGTTCGTTAGCACGTTGCCGGCCGCACTAAACTCTTCTTTAATAGCAACTGTTGATACCGGCATTGCTAGCACTTGCTTAGCCATCTTTGATAAGATCGGAAACGTTCTTTCTTTTTCCTTCCACCACTGAAGAACGTCAAAGTCATCCCCTTCTTCATACTCAACGGGAAATGTTAGATACAAAGAAAGCTCGTTAATCGAGCTTTGTTCATTAACCGAAGTTGATTTACTTTTTTTCATAAGATTGCCAAATGCAGATTTAAAAATTGATTTTCCTTTAGATGAAGAAGATGTTCGTGGCAGGGGAGGGGGTGAGTTAATTACCATATTGTGCATGAAACTTATTAAATAATTGATATAATAAATTACTAACCTCTTGAAATTCTTATTTGGGGTCTATGGCCTTTTCATCGTACATAGACAATGGACCAAAAAAAGAAGCATAATTGTAATCTAAATATTGCCCCAAAGAATCAAGTCTAAAACGAGGATCAAGAATAAATGCAATACCATATATATGCGGAATATGTGAATAATATTTTAAAAACTTTTGTTTCATGTATTCACAAAAATAACTAACGTAAGCGGCATCGAATAATTCACAAAAAGCGCCGGCGAGATTAACAGCTTCAACAAAAAATTGGTTTGTGGTAGGTTTATAAACATGACTAAAAGTTTGAGTTGCATTATTAAAAAACACCAAAACATTTACAATTTTTTCACAAGTGTCGATGTCGGGCGGGTTTATAATATAGTTAGCATACTCTCTTAAAAAAGCAGGGAAATGGTTTTTAAATCTAATTAGCACCTTAATTAAGTTACAAGTACTATTCCACCGAATAGACAAAGTTTTAGGAAAAGCACAATATTTGACATGTCTTTCTTTCAAATAATTTTTCCATTGCATCTTAAGTTGATTACTAGCCCAAATAAGTTTAATCCCCCCCCCCCCCCCCCCCCTCACCACCTACATAGCATCTCCCAACGCCGCTAGCGCGTCTTTAACACATAAATTTAAAATATGACATGCACAACGCTGATGAAAAAACCTACCCATCAAAGAAGATGAACCACGCAATTCACGCAATCTAGGAATAACAGCAGTATTATTACTAACATTATCAAAACCAATAGCAAACACCTTATCAATCAAATTATACTCAATTAAAATACGTTCAATGAGAATATAAATATTATCAGTGGTGTGTCGATCATTAAATTCACGAAAAGCAATAACATGTTTATGCATACACCAATCATCATCAATATAATGTGCAGTCACACCCAAATAATATAAATGATGATGAGTATCCTCCCATATATCACTACATATACTAACATGTCCATCAAAGTTGACGAAAAACATTTGTAAATTTTGCTTTTCCAAAACATATTGCCTTATAACTTCTTTTTTAATTGTTTTTCGACTATAGTTTCGAAATTGAGGATTTAAACTACCTTGAGCATATTCTTTTAAAGCAAGACTTTCGAAAAAAATAAAAGACAAATTTTCTTCAATAATTAAATGAGACATACCGGTCAAATGATTTTTTATCATCATAAGAGAAATTACCAAAGGGTTGGCAAGTTCCAAACCTTGAAATTTGTGTTTGCTTTCCCTTGCCTTTGTCCGATTTCGCATAGATCTTCAGGTGCTTGGCCTTAAGATACCTTGTGGCGCTCCCGTACCCTTCATAAATTCCCAAATTATACACTTTTGGGCAATGCTTGCAAGCGGCGTACCATATTTCGGTTTTGAGGTGTTTGGTCTTTGTAAAATTGGCCTTAAAGACAGATTCAACTTTGTCACCGCCTTGGGAAGAACCAGCCTCTTCCGCTTGCTCTTCCTCATCGTCCGATGTGCCGTGAACCCCGTCCTCGACCGTTTGCGGATCCTCCTCCTCCACATCATCATCCTCGAGCTCTTCTTCCTCAATGATCGGGATGTCTTGTTAATGGAAAAAGCGCTCTTGATGTTGTTGTAATAGTTGTGCTTGTTGCTCATCGGACATCGCATCCCCATCTCTCCGGTTGTAATCCGCATCAAAATCATCTCGAGTTTGAGATGAAGACTCGGCCCGTCCCTTACCTTTCTGTGAGCTTTGATGATTCCTCGCAATCTCTTTTATTCAGTTGCGGTTTAGGTTACCCATATCTACAAAAGCTCTACCACGTTCCATCTTAAAAATATAACAAATATTAAATTCGAAGTACAATTAAACTAGTCAATTTGAAATACAAATCTAACAATTCGAAATACAATTAAAAAATGAGAAAATGTAACTGTTGGGATATTGACTCGGAGGCCCAATACCCGGATTAAAAAGGCCCAGATACCCAGCCCAAACAACGAGTCCATTACCCTATGATGAGTAGGTCCAGTGAAGAATCCATATCAAACGGGGTTCGGTCCGAGTAAAGGCCGGCCCAAAAAGAAGAGATACCGAACGGAGTTCGGACCATATATCATACTTGGGCCAATTTGACAGCGTCATCCGCATGGTCCAGCATCCCGTTCGAGCAACGGGAAACCAGCAAGTGGCAAGGTGCAATTAATGCCAGATTGTGACATCAGCAAGTGGAAGCATAGGTGATCAAGTCGGTGGAACAACGGCCAATCAGCATAGAGCAACCCATGCTCTCCATTAGTATAAATTAGAAGGTTTAATATCATTGTAAGGGTTAGCATTTCGATACTCAAGCTCTAGAATAGCATTATTACTCTTGTTTCCTGTATTAAAAGCACTATTCCGACCTACCGATCGGGAAGTTTCCTTGTAATCAGACAGGTTAAGTAATACAAGCGGGCTTTTGGGTATTAGTGGATTTATCTTTTATATTTTGTTATACACTTTGATTCTGATCCATTCCTGATATATCCAAAGTTCGTGTTGGGCTTTCGGGTCTACGAGACTTACCTTCAACATTGGCGCCGTCTGTGGGAATCATTCAAAGAGTTTCACATTCAATTATTCCAAAACAACTATTTTTGAAAATGGTCAGAATCAGTTCTTATCACACAAATGATGGTTCGCGCCATCACGGAAGGAGTCACACCCCGAGAAATCAAACCCCACAGGGACGATCCAGCCGAGGATCATATCCTCATTTTGATGGGGACTTTGTAATTCCTGAAGCCCTAAGGAGGAATCCTCAGGCCATGCGAGATATGGCCCAGGTCATGCAACACATGGCCAACGAGGAAGAAGGAGTATCCAATTTTACAGGGGAAACTCCCCACACAGAAACGACCACGGCGTCATCCCACTCACGGGCCCATCGGGATAATCGTCGTGGCGCTCCAACAACAACGCATCATATTCCCAGTGACCGGACCCCGATCGAGTCACAAGCCAGGGGACCTACTCCTATTGGTCGTCATCTCCAGCATGATGAGCGGAATAATACTAGGGCCACTCAAAGGCACTGGGATCGGGAGTATACAGATTTGAGGACTCCACCACCGCCCCTTTGATGGCCCAAGAGGAAGAAATGGCTGAAATGAGGAGGCAGATGAATGAGATGAGAGATCAGATGAATAGGGCGCCCGTACAGCCTGCTCCGATTCAGCTCGGGATTACTTCCCCTTTCACCAGGGAAATTATGTATGCGGATATCCAGGGAGGTGCCAAACCACCGGCCGGTCAGATTTATGATGGGGTAGGCGATCCCCATGTGCATTTAAGGAGTTATCAAGGAGGACACATGCTACTAGGAGCACTTGAGGCTGCTATCTGCCGATTGTTCTTCAGTACGCTCAGAGGACCCGCTCAAGAGTGGTTTGGGACCCTACAACCTGGGTCGATCAACAGTTTCGCCGAATTATCAACGTTGTTCTTGGCCCAATTTGCTTCTAGTGCCAACCCAAAATGACACTTCAGCTACCTGACTAGCGTGAAGCAGAACTCCAAGGAAACCCTCAATCAATTCTTGAAAAGATGGAGGGACGAAACTTTGACGGTCGGAAATATGACGGATGATACCGCCATCACCCTATTCACAAACGCTCTCCGAACGGGAGAATTATACAAGGATTTGAAGAAGAATACGGGTACGACGTATGCCGAGGTGTTAGACAGAGCTCGCAAGCATGCTGCCCTGGAAGAAGAGATTATGATCAGGGACAAGATCGTTGCGCCTACTGCCCCAATCAAGATGGCCGATCGGCTGGGTCCTACCCCAGTGGCCGCTCTCTCTCCTAAGCAAGGGCGATTTACTCCCCTGTTCCTGTCCGTGGCAACCATGTATCAGAACGAGAAGGACAACATTCCCCTTCCGACTAATTCTTCACATTATATGGGAGCAGCCGAGTCTGCTTTTTGTAAATATCATAACAGGAAAGGTCATGCCACCAACGCTTGTAGGGCACTACAAACGGCTATTGAGGACTTGATCCGGCGGGGTCATCTGGGCAAGTATGTAAATAAAGATCCAAGTGCGGTAGGCACTTTAAAACCGGTCAGGAAACCCAACAGCCGGCGACGGGATGCCCAACGTGATGCCCAGCCCCAGAATGACGTATATATTCCTCCCAGGGATGAACCAGAGGGCTCGGGAGGC